ATAAAAAATAACTGAATGGGGTGAAGGCTGTCCAACTCAAAGACAATTGGAACTGAAAAAAATAACATTCTGTCTGTCAGCTGGCCAGTTTTTTGTTATTGTTCAGCCCTGTCTGACTCTTTGTGACCCCATCTGGAGTTTTCTTGGCAAAGATACTGAAGTGATTTGTCATTTCCTTCTCCAGCTCATTTTACAGATGAGAAAACTGAGACAAATAGGGTTAAGTGACTTGCCCAGGGTCACATAGCTAATAAGTGTCAGAGGCTAGATTTGAAGATGAGTCTTTTTGATTGCAAGCCCAGTGCTCTATGAACTTCACCACCTAGCTGCCCCTGTTATATAAGTACCTACATATTATCCTCAATTTTGCCTATTGGCCCACAAAGTCTAAAATATTTATTATCTGGCCCGTTAGAGAAAAAATTTACCAACCCCTGTCTTAGAGCAATAAGAATGCTGGGAAAGAATAGGTCAGGGTTTGTTTGGTTTTAATTCTATTTTTTTTTCAGATTCTCGTTCTTTCTCTACTACCCCTCCGCACATTAAGAAAGCAAGAAAAACAAAACCTCTGTTATAAACATGCATAGAGAAACAAAAGAAATGACCATACTGGCCATGTGTCAATCTTCACTGTGAGTTCATCATCATCATCATGATACTCTCTCTGTCTCTGTCTCTCTCTCTGTCTCTCTGGAAGTGAATAATGTTTCATCATGAGTCCTTGGAAATTGTGACATTATGTTGATTAGAATTCCCAAGTCGTTCAGAGTACTTTGTCCTAGGATATTATTGTTACTGTATAAATTGTTTTCCTGGTTCTGCTTACCTCACTCTGCAACAGTTCACAGAAGTCTTCCCAAACGTCTCTGAAACCCCCTGCTTCATATCATTTCTTACAGCACAATAATATTTCATCACCTTTCTATACCATAATTTGTTCAGTTGATGGACATCTCCCGCTCCCTCAGTTTCTAGGTTGGTTGGTTGGTTTTGATTTGTTTGTTTTTCCACCACGAAAAGAGTGCTATAAATATTTTTTGCACATAGGGGTCCTTTTCCTCTTTCTTTGATCTCTTTGGGATATAGAACTAGTAGCATTATTGCTAAGTCAAAGGGTATATGCACATTTTAATAGCTTTTGGAGACATAGTTCCAAACTGCCCTCCAGAATGGATAGACAGGTTCACAGTTCTACCAACAGGTTGTTAATTTTAAAATCTATGGTATAGCATTAACAACCATTTACCTTCTTTTCCAATATTAGATTCTGTAATAAGATAGCAATTATTTTTGGATCACTAGTACCCAAGGCTATTAAAGCTAAATCTATTACAAATTATAAAATTCAATGACATCATTACAAAAAACGCATGATATTAATCATGATGGTTGGTAACAACTTGTTCATCCATCATTACAATCATTTTATACACCAGTATGCTCTCTTATAAAATATCATCTTAAAGAATACAATTCTGGCTGTTGACATAAGCATGCAAATAAAGATATCTAACAGGAAATTCAGCTGTCAGTTCCACACAATTCATTTCACATTGCCAGAAAGACATTCATTAGGAATTTATGTAAAGTCTTTTTATACTGAAGGGGGTAGGCACACTCCCACAAGGAACCATCTCTTTGCTTGGGAGCAGGACTATCCTCTTCTTACAGACTGGCACAGTCTCCCTGGCTTTTTGCCTCAAACCGCATAGGAGCAAAAGTTCATTTACAGCATAATAATACATAACTGCCATATTGAACATTGGAATGTTTCCTTTGTGACTGTTT